TGGCTCTCCCAATTTGCCCTTTTAAAATACTGGCACAACTGCAGCTCCCTTCCAGTCTTCTGCAACTTCCTCAGCACTTCAGTGTTGCTGAATCTAATGGTGATTTAAAGAGCTCTTTTGCCACCTCTTAAATTTGAGGAATATGCTGGCAGTTTCATGATGTTCAGCCAGGGTGTATCGCCATCGGGATGCAGATTTCGCCACGGATGTTTTACCCCACTGTTCCCACATGGAGCATTACTGATGCCCATATCGAGTGCAGCCCTGAGGAGACGGACTTGGGGGTGCTGGTGGATGAGAAGCTCAACATGATCTGGCAATGTGCGCTGGCAGCCCAGAAAGCCAACTGTATCCTGGGCTGCATCCAAAGAAGCATGGCCAGCAGGTCGAGGGAGGGGATTCTGCCCCTCTACTCTGCTCTTGTGAGACCCCACCTGGAATATTGCATTCAGCTCTGGAGTCCCCAACACAAGAAGGACATGGACCTGTTAGAGCAGGTCCAGAGGAAGGCCATAAAAATGATCCAAGGGCTGGAGCACCTCTGCTATGAAGACAGGCTGAGAGAATTGGAGTTGTTAGCCTGGAGAAGAGAAGGCTCCAGGGAGATCTTTGAGCAGCCTTTCAGTATCTAAAGGGGGCCTACAAGAAAGCTGGAGAGGGACTTTTTACAAGGGCATGTAGTGATAGGACAAGGGGTAATGGCTTTAAACTGAAAGAGAGTTGATTTTGATTAGATCTAAGAGGTGTTTTACAATGAAGGTGGTGAGGCACTGGAACAGGTTGCCCAGAGAAGTTATGGATGCCCCATCCCTGGAATTGTTCAAGGCCAGGTTGGATGAGGCTTTAAGCAACCTGATCTAGTGGAAGGTGTCCCTGGCCATGGCAGGGGGGTTGGAACTAGATGATCTTTAAGTCTCTTCCAACCCAAACCATTTTATGATTCTATGTTCACCATGACTTTGCTGGTGTCCCAGTTTGCTGCTTTACCAACGCAGGTGAAATAAGGGATTCAAGTGTAAAACAGCAATGAGCCGTTGTGAACAAAGCAGCTCAAATCACTACATTGCAAAAATCATTTGACACTTTGTCAGTCGTACCTCACCGCAGCAATCACTGGAACTAATAGTCATTAATTACCTTTGTCAGATGAAATTTCCTTAATTGCCTGCAACTTCACTTCCAAGAAACTCCCACTTTCAGCTGCCGCTGTCGGTTTAAAGGCCACGTCTCCTAGTGGTAATTTTTTAGGGAAAGTCCAGCAAATTAGTGGAAAATGTAGTCACACGTGGCTCACCTCTGGCTGTACAGGATTGGTACGTGTCCTGGAGTCACCTGCCTGGCCTGCCTGCATCGAGAAGAAAGGTCAGTGGGATGGGGGTGGAGAGGAAGGTGATCGGCCAACCTGTCATGTAATCCAAGGGCATTCTTCTGTGACCTTTTCTTTTCCCTAAAAATAAAGGAAACACGGTAGCAGACCACCTGGAGAGCTGCTGCTCCTTGAACCTTGACAATATGCATTCAGCGTTGCGAGGAGACATTCAGCAGACGGCATTCAGCACGCGCCGTCGTTGCCCTCACTACCAAGCTCCCATACAGATGTTCATTGAACTGTCAGAGCATCGAGAGGAAAATAAATTAATTGCAAGTGGAAGAAGGTTAGTTAAATCTTTTCTGGAAGTATTACATAGCCATTAAATTGCATAGAAAACTCAATAATAATGGGTAATAACGTTCTTCCGAG